TACTAGGGGTATTCTACATTAGTGACATCCAAGGTCATCTTCCATGGGAAATTATCTCACAATGAAGCTCTCATTCTCATATGGAGCTAGCTATTGGACTACCATCAATTGTGATCCACGGGATGACGTGGATAAAATCTGTTTGTTCAATGAGATCCGAGACATCAAATTTACCACTGACCCTTGGATGTTGGTGGGCGACATAACCTTGATCTATCAAGATTAGAATAATAATAATAATAATAACTATTGTTCCGATAGGCACATGATGGGTCTATTTCGTCACATTTTGGATGATCTAGAGCTAAAGGAACTCAATCCCAACAGGTGCAATATCACTTGGTTGAAAGATAGAGAAAGGCACATCTTTGTGTGATTTAACATGCTTTCCCCTACTTAGCATGGGAAAACATGTTTTCCCAATAACTTCCTCTTTCGCACCCTCTCTCCTATGGTCTTTGACAATATACCTAGAAACATCCTACTCAGCAAAGGGCAAACAAAGGTTTCACATAGAATATTTCTAGTGCAAAATAGTAAAAAACCTTAGCTGGACCAATGCTTGATTGCCAATCATTTTCACAGCCGAGATAGACATTTGCATCGAACTACGAGGGCATTGTTTTTCTCGAAAACGCAAGAGAATTGCATTTCATTTTATTAAGAGGAAAAAATAAAGGAAAAAAATACAAAGTAGGAGAGACCAAATCCCTCATACACACCCACACCCCGGCCAACCCCGGCCAATTAGGTGCATAGGTTTGTCGAACTACTAAGAAACTTTTGGAGGGCAGACGCCCCCCGCTAAACACCAAAGATTACCCTCATTCTCTACCACCTGCAAGATCGTCACAACATTAGGACTAGTGCCATTGAAAACATAGTTATTGCAATGCTTCCAAATCTCCCAAGCCACTAAGATAATCAAGGAGTTGAGTCCTTTTCGCACATCCTTTGGCCGATATTTTGTAGATTGGCTCCACTACCTCAAAAAACGATGGTTGAAGGTTGAGGCACTATACCAGAGATCCCTAGCTTCAAGAACAGAGCTGTCCACACTTAGCGGGAAAAGACACAAGAGATCAAAATGTGTTGGATGGATTATTCACTTTGATCACAAAGGGGATAGGCCGCGGGGTGCTGCAGTCCGCGCTTTGCAAGCCTGTCGGCTGTCCAACATCTATTATTGACGGCCAACCAGAGGAAGAACTTATAGCGAAGAGGAGCCCAACTCTTCCAAATGCATTTGCAAGGAGCAAACTTGATCGATCCCAGGAAATAAGTTTCATAGGTAGATTTACAAGTATGCATCCCATCAGCGGTTAGCTTCCAAACATGCTGGTCTTGTACATCTTGTAGCAGAACCACCTCGTCTACCAAAGTCCAAATGGTCAAGTACTCATAAAGGACCTGAACAGATAGTCCCCCATGTATGTCAGCCACCCATCTTCTGTTTTCCAAAGCCTGCACCACAGTATGTTGCTTCCTTGCCCTCTTGAAGATCAAGGCAAAGGGATTAGAGGCTAGCTCTGCTACTGTTTTACCATGTAGCCACCTATCACTTCAAAACTTGGTATTTTCTCCATTTCCAACCATAGTTTTGACAACGACATTAAAAAGAGAATGGACATTCTGAGGCACATGAATAGACAAACCGGCCCAAGGCCTAGCAAAATCAGTTTTTTGAAGCCATAACCATCTCATGCGTAGTGCCCTTTTAGAGTTGAACTAACAAGAAATTAAATACATAAATATCCATAGTTAGCAAGGTTTTGCCACAGACAGGCATCCTCGTCAAGAAATGGAAATTCTCATTGCTAGAGTGATTGGATATGGGAGTTCAAAATGGAATTACAATAGCCTAACAACAAGTGAGGATTGCTTTGATCAAAAAAGGTGATGCAAACACTAGTTTCTTTTATTACCACACAACTCACAGCAATTGACACACCTTCATCCAACAACTCTTAGATGATATCCAACCATATGGTCGCAAGAAGAAAAGGCCTTGTTGGCACATTAGTCTACAAGCCTTATTTGGTTCTCCACAAGACTAATCCAACTCCTTGAATTGGTTCTCCACAAGACTAATCCAACTCCTTGAATTTAAACTTGATTGAGGCAAAAATGGCAAGTACGCAGAGCTAGAGGCCAAGTCCTCGGAGAAAGATGTTCGGGTAGAAACTAAGGCAATACGAGAAGAGAAGACAAGGATCCGATGGTTTCTCGAGTCTCTTCTATCACCAATGATGGAAAACGAAAGATATCCTGACAACAACCAACCGACATTTATGAATGGACGTAACTAGCTTCAAGAAGTCGAATCGGACATTCATCCCATTGATTCTTATGAAAACCAATGCTACTACTTTATGGTATTATTGGATAATAAACTTGCTCCTCATCTTCTCCAAGTTGTTCTCGAATATCTTGGCACTTCAACATGCACTACTATGAAGTTGGTTGCCAAGAACTAGAGTGCCTTTATGAAAGACCGCTTCACACATTACAACTTCGAGTTAGTACGCCAAACAATGAAGAAGCTACATAGCGGTAAAATTTTCATTTCTTCTTTTTCAAATTCAGTAAGTTCAAACATTCAAATCATTTCAATGGTCATTTCTCATGGATGGGATGCTTGGGGATGATATCTGGCATGAACAAGGAGTCCACTAGCGGACCCCTTGTCGCCACAAATATTGATACTTGTAATCACATCCAAAACACGTTCTTCAAGAAGCATTGCAAGAAAGGCTCTTCTCCGTACTAAACATTATTCCTAGAATAGCCCTTCTCATCAATCCAACTTGCTTAAAGCTATATCAAACTAAGTAAATCCTTCGAATCTTGGTGGGGCATTGGCCAAGTAAACTACTATAAATGTTCAGTGGAGCAAATACATTGCAGCAATGACAAGCTAACAATTATCACTGAGGAGCTCCGATGTGAGGTGTTACAAGTCCGCACATTCACCAGGCAATAAGAGCCACAACCTAAATACACATACGCTTGAGCTAGTTGAGTAGGAAAGAAGTATTGTAAACCTACAACAAATGCTTCTAGGCAAAATCATGTGCCACTATTGCTTGTGTGTATTACTAGAACCAAGAATCACATGATGCTAGCGGCAAGTCAAGCAAGAAAGAAAGTATTGTCCAAGCAGCCACATGAACGGATCGCTAGCCATTTGAGTCCCACAGGAAGGTAGGCTATCCATTCATGCGGCATCGAGCTTGCCATGGGACGGCATGAATCGCATGAGATTTAGGACAAGAAAAAGGAGTAGGACGGGGCGGCTGGGTAGAATGGAAAGGAAAAGGGAGAAGGGATTAGAGATCCAATAAGCACCAGCACGTGGCTATACATGTGTTGGGCCTTCTTGTAAGTTTTGTTTGGGCCTCCTGTGGGGAATGGGGACAGAGAGTGGGGGAGCACCCCGACCACAATGGAACAGGGAATAGATGGCCAATCTCCAACCCCTAATAGAGGAATTCCCTGACATGTAACGGAGTATGAAGTCCTATTTTGTTATCCCTAAACATAAATTTCCTTAACATCCTAGTAAGTAAGTTGATTCAGTTATATGTTCCATCCAGCTCCTAACTCCAAAGAATTGTGCAATAGATGTGTCAGGTAAAAGCTAAATACTCAATAGCAATCCAATGGATAGCACCATCACTAAGCACAAGGCAAGAAAATGATTGGCCGATTTTCTTATAAATATTTAGGACTACCTATGGGCATACAAAAAAAATGAAGGGAAATTTACACCTAGTCATCGATAAGGTCATGAGAAGATTGTTGAGCTGAAAATGAGAGCACCTCAAACCATTGAAACCAAATTAGAAAATCGAAGTTGTTCTGATGAACTAGTCAGTCCTTGGTTCATGGTACCCTAGTTTAACCATAGTCCAATGATGAATAACTTGGTTCAAATATATTATCTTTAGTTTTTTATGTTCAAATTACTGGTATGTAAGGTAAAAATTGCTAGTATTAAGTTAACTAACTTTCACTTTTCAATGTATTCATGAATGTGGTATGGCTTCGATGATCTTTCACATGTAGAGTGACAAACATGGTCATTGATTTTATCCTTTCCTTTCGTGCGAAACGAAAAATTATATTTATCGCTAGTTTTTCCCTCTAATCTTTTTAACTAACCGATCATAGCATGCTTTGCCCTTAGTTTTTTCTTCTCCTGTCTAGCTTTCGTCATTGTGATCCGAAAAAATTATGCCAACTAAGCCAGTCCTAACTTAAATAACAGTTTACTACTAATCACCATGGAGCCCACTAAATGGACTATCAAGGAAATTAACAAAAACCATAAGAGGGTTCCTTTTAGAGGTCATGGCCATGCCACGGCAAAGCATTGTTGGATAGCTTGGTCTAATGTGCTCACCAACTTTGCAATCTGGAAATTTTAGTGCAAACTCTATGAGTGAAATGGATTTGGTACTAGCGCAACACTAAGAAATCATAGTTCAGGCAACAAAGAACAACATTAAAAGCAATGTCAATGTTCTTCAAGCTTGGATCCACTTTTAGTAGAAGGATGACAAGTACTATCTTGTTTCCGGAAGACAAATGAACTGACATAGAATGGGTTGAATCCATTTCCACAACACTATATCAACGCATTTGTAAGCCCATCCGGTGTCAAATATGTCATTGGATCCACAACTTTCAGGTAGCTCTTAGGATGCAAGGGCTTGACCCAAGCATTGTGGTGATCAATAATACATCGGTCATGAAATTGTTATATGAGAATTACAAGTTGTAATCTACAGATACTGATGGGTGGCCTTTTTGCACACAGGTCATGGGTTGTCATGAACTTCATTTGCATTTTTCTCTTAATACCATGATACATAAATCTTTTCCGTATTTGTGAGAAAAAATAGCATCCACTTTTATGCCTCCTTTTTCTTTAGCCTGTGATTGTCCACTCATTTTCTTTATAAATTTATATCACTGACTTAGCAACTTTTTTGCAGTATAGAAAACATTGTGGAACGTTATGAGAATTCTCTAACAGCACAAAAGGGAGTACATGGCAGGCGCACTCCGGAAAAGGTAAAATGCGGATAATAGCAACAGAAATAAAACACTATATAAGAAGTGCCTTTGTTCGCATTTTAATCGGGATAAACGGATATATAATTTCTCTGATCCTGTGCCATGAATTTATTTTTAATAGTAGTTCAATCATTCTATGGTTATATCATATTTACCTTTTTTTTCAGAGTAGAAACATCACTACCTGAGACAAAAAGACTCATTTTTACTGTGTAAAACATTTTACAAAGTATGGCTAACAGGTGCTGGCAGAAATTTCAACTAATTAAAAGAAGTGTGGCTAGTTACAAATTTGACACTTGACCCATGTATTTGTATAAAAAAATTGAATCATGTTGTGATTTTAGTGGCTTTGTCCGATAAGTTAATTATATATTGTACACTTGCAGAGAGACACTCATTGGTGAAAATTTTCCTGCCGGTGCTGATGATAATTATTTTACCATACCAAGGGCAAGGATTTTCATGTTCCCAAGGAAACAACAGATAAAGGGTCGAACGATGATGACATGCGGTATCTGACAAGTGCCTCTGCAAGTAACAACTTCAACCAAAAATATTTTCAAACAGTTGACTAAATATGAGAAAATTGCAGATCTATTGATGAAACAGACATATCCACATTGAACATGGACCAGCTTAGCCAAATTGAAAGATTACTGGAAGATGAACTAAGGTGGACAAGGGCAAGAAAGGTATGTGGCACCTTAGTAATAGACAGAATAGAAGAAGACAACATGTATCTCTTTAGAACATGAATATTTCATTTATTTTAACTTATTAGATTATGTGCATCACATAAAGATTTTTGCGTAGACATTCCATTTCTTTTCCAGGAAAGTGTTTACCTTACTATTGTACCTTGGAAGATCTTCCTTAGCTGTCTCACTATTTTACTTGATAGAAATACCAAAATATTGTTCAGTTTGGTCCTTTCTGTGATTCACAACTCACAAGTTAGTCTCTGTCACACGGTAATTTGTAAGAATGGTTTGTCCAAAATGTTCCTTTTCTCATCTAATGCTGATTCATTACTACAATCTAGAAGAAACACTAGTGTGTTCCTTAGGATAATAATCTAGTATTTCAAACCGATCAATTTGAGGCAATATTAATTGCCCATTCTGAATTCCTGATGGAAGAAAATACTTGCTATCCCAATACATCATTGTGTACTCAAACAGTGGATGTATCAACTTGCTGCATTACTCTTTCAGTGTCCTTGAGAGAATTTTGGTTTGATCTGCAACCAAATTCACTTCAAATCTGACAGTATATCTTTGTACGGACATAGGTGGTGGTGGATAGAAGTGCCAGATTACAAAAAAAGGTATGCACTGAGTAGTCTGTACCAAAACTAAGTTTTGTAAAACGTAAGTTAGCTCGATTTGTAGTCCATACAAGTGAAAACTGGTGCATGTCAGCAATAATCAGAATCCCTGATGTCCATTTGGAAATCATGAACAAATTGACCATGCTACGCATGCTTTGCAGGTGCAGGGGAAAGCGGCGATTGTTGAGGTTGAGAGGGGCTCCATGGAGATTCCCATAGAATCTGGGCAGGAGAAGGTGATCACTGGATGCAGTAACTATTTCTGTCAGTCACAAACACTCCAATCTTTCTGCAAACCCTGCAAACATTCACTTGCTACTCTGCTTGTAAGCAGGAACAGATAGGAGGGGAGGCTGTGGAGGAGCAACGGAGCCGGACTACGCCGTTGGACCTCAACATGCCTTGCTGGGACGCAGGTCCTCTGCAGTAAACGTAGATAACATTATCTTTGCACAGCAATCTGAGTCTGTCTAACGTTAGTCGCTACTACTGTCCCCGGTACTAACAGTGTCGTAAGTTACTGTTGCTGGGAAACTACTACTACGCTTTGCTAATCTTTTTTTACTGTAGCCGTTCATATCCAGGATACTGTGCCGTAACTGGAGCACACCAGATTCAAATCAAATGTACTGTGACACCATTGTATTTTAAAATGTGTTTTTCTCCTACTTCCTACTAGTTCTAGTTCATGTTCGGTGGAAAATTGTAAACCAAATAAACCGGCATCGGTATTGGTCGATGTGTACCCGTGGGCTCTGTAATAAGACTGTCCGTGCCTGCAAATTAGTACTGATAATGTGTGTCATGGTTTTAAATAATGTTCTGCCTTAATAATTCCTAGCAATAGTGTACTCCTCCGTCCAAAAAAAAAACTCAAATCCTAGCTATGCTTGTTCAATTTCATAGCTATGATTTGATTCTTTTTAGAACGGAGGGGTACACTATAGTCACAAGAAAGAAACAAGGTAGGTCTTGTTCGGTTAATCCCTTCCTTAAAAGGGACCAAGAAGAACTTAGAGATGATTTATTCCATATCTATTGTGGTGTGAAATTATTCTCTCAATCCCTCCCTATTAGGGAATTAAACGAACAATGCCGTAGTGTTTTTTATCCAGGAACATTCGTCCTCACCTGTATCAAAACCTCTCACAAGTAGTATATTTCGTTTCTCGATCTTATCGACTCAAAAGCTCCGTAACTATAGGGTACATCCTCTAATAAAAAGAACTACTACATATGTTCTCAAAATATAAGAATAAGAAGAATAACCTAGTATCAAGTAAGATATTTTAGAGCACTACGAATACATATGACACATCCGGTTTTATATTCTTATATTTTAGAAAGGAAAGAGTATTTACAAATTCGTAGCGAGAAATTAGTTATTTTTTTTTCCAGAGGTGTACTCCTAAGTTATGAGACATTTCGCTGCTACCTCCGTACCTGATACTCTTGGTACAGATAGAATAGGAGCATGACTGCCTGCATGAGTTCCTGGTGCCTGCTAGGCCATCGGCTATTCTCCACGAAACCCAGAAATTTTACAGGGCTTATGCAGAAAATTAGTTCAAAGCCCATTAAATTCTCGTAAAATCGATCCCTATGTCCCAAAGTAAGCCAGACCATCTTACATATTTTCAAAACATTAGAGTGGAACATTGTTTTTTTTTCGTTTATATTTCTATTAAAATTATCGGTAGGAGTATCAACCTCCTCATTCATAAGTGTCCCCACCGTACCCCCATGCAATTCTCTTTTCTGAAATTCTCCTTCAGAACGGACGAATTTTACATCCTTCCCTAAAAACGAATGGATGGATGAATCCGAAGAAATTCGGCGCAAATCTAACCAAATTTTTGTATAAAAAAAGGATTATTTCTACGTTCAGCACTGACCTGGGACGCTCACCGGACACTGGTTTTCCTGCTGCGATCTGCGAGAGCTAGCGACGATCGAGGAAGAGAAGAAGAACACAAGAATCAGCGGAAGAGAAGAGACAAAGCTAAGCTCGTTGGCGTGAATGCGTGATGCCGCAGCTCGATCGGTTTCAGTTCGTTTTCCCGCTTATCCGGAGGAGAAATACGGGGCGTTGGTGGAAGCTGGGGGAGATGCCACGCGTCGTCGGGCCGCCGTAGGAAGTGGGCGTGCCACGTGGAATTTTTAGTGGCCTCTCTATCTCGTCTATCCCCGACCTTGCCGGCTTTTCTCCCGGTCTCGGAATTAATGTAGCCAAAAGAAATACTCCATAAAGTACGGAATAGTAGAAAAAATTCAAGAAAAAACCACATATTACATATTAATTAATTAAATTGATTAACTTTCTTTTTTTCTATTATACAAGGATAGGGCACAACTTTAATTAGATGGAGATTTTCTGATAGGATTGTTGTTTGAATAAATGTATCCATTTTTTTTGTTGGTTATTTGTCTTCCGTTTCATCTTATCGTAGCTATTTACTCTGGATTTAAGTCAATAATTATGTAATAATTGGTTATAACTTATATTGAAGTGAAGGTCGGATTTCATCCATTACCTAGAAACAAGGATAACGCACCAGAGCGCACACCATCACAAATGCATACCACGCTCATGTGTCGGCATGAGTGTGTCGGCGAATGGCATATTTATGGCCGCACTAAATTCTGGAATCTCTCAATGTGCCGATTTCGCTCCCCTGTCATTCTCAGTGCTCCGGAATCGGAATGTAGCTAAAAGAAAAATACAAAAGTGATCTACCGTTGTGGTTCAGTTTGTCAAAGTTTAATGATTCATCATTATCATTATCTTCTTCTATAATATAACGACGAGTTTATCAATTATTATACAATATGCTATAATCTGTACTTTATCTGAAATACGCTTAAACACATATAGCTAGCAATTGATTTATCACATTCAATTTTTATAAAAAAATATGAACTTTTTACATAGCGTCCTTACACAACATGAAAAAAGTTTATATATAAGTTTTAAGTTTTCTTTTGGTATTTTATTTTTTTAAAAAAATACTTTTGTGGTATATGAGAGAATTGTCTACACAAAATATAATAGCACAATATTTTGGGTAGAATATGAAAGACGATTTACATTAAAAACATCAACAAAAAAAATATTCTATATAACATATAATGGATAACAATAAATAGAAATGCAAAAATCTTAAAAATTTATACGCAAACTTCCACATTATATAAAGAGGTTAAAAGTCATAATATTTTTAAAACTTTTGACAGGATAAATCATTTGTTAATAATCTTGTAGGTTTATAAGGGTATTTTGGATTAAGAAAAAATATCAGTCCAATGATATAAACAAATTGATAAACTCGCCGGTGCTTTTTCAATTGGCGAGTAAATTAACGGCCGAAGAACAAAAAGTAATTAACAGATTGTGTAATCCGTGTGATCTGATAACTGACCACACCAGGCAGTAGGAAAAAAATAAATAAATAAACAATGTTAATCTTCAGACGTGGCACTGGCAAATAAAATACTATCTGTGATTCCTCGATCTTGTATAACTTATTTTAGGTATTTATGTAGCATATAAAAGAGGAATCACATATCTAAAAGATAGGTGCATCAGAAAAAAATTACATAGCACGTATGATGATGTACATAATAAAAACATTAACACAAGAGCATTCTATAGCATATAAAACATAAAATATATTTTTTTAAAAAATAAATTAATACATGCAAAATAAAAATCTTGAAATATATGCACTTCTATATTATATAAGGAGGTTATGTAAAAAAATTATATTTTCCGAAACTTCTATATGGGCCAATCAATTGTAATATCTTACATGTTTTGAAGGGCATTTGGATATTTTTAAAAGTATGTACCCAAATGATATATTATACAAGAAATTAACAGTTAATAGCGTATTGAAAATATAAAGTAGATGTTAAATAAAGTAAAATCAGTGTTATAGAATAAATTCACTCATAAAAATATCATATTGGTGATACCTCGATCTGCTTTCTTTTTGGCAGGCGCCCGCAACACACGTATACACACTACGAGCACCTCAAAAAGACTAGGCCGACATATATCAAAATTAACGAAGTTTTATTTTTTTCGAGAACGTGCAAAAGGATTGCACGTCAATATATTAAAATTAACAAAGTTAACATGAACGCCATCGTCATACCTCGACCTGTCCTCTTCTCTTTTTTTTCCTTTTTTTGCAAAGGCACCCACAACACGTGCACACTGATCCCTATGAGAACCTCAGAAGATTGGACTGAAATATCTTAAAATTAACAAAGTCACTATGGACCATCGTTGTCGATAGGTACGTCGCCTACCACTTAAAAAAATAATTAGCTGTAAATGTGAGCACATATATCAAATCTAGGATTTGAACCCCAGATATACTGGTTTGAGCATAAGGAAGTTAATCAGTTGAGTTACGCTCACTTTGTACTCGACCTTTTACATTAGCACTGTCTTGTTCAATTTTTAGTTAACCTTTTATTTTTCCAGGATTAAGTGTATGATAGCAGTACATTTTGTGCTAGTTAGGTTCATAGGATTTCCAAATCAAAGGTATAGAAAAACTAAAGGATTAGAATGTCATGTGCACTTCATTCCTTAGGAATTTTAGCAAGAGGCCTCACCTCATGCTAAGAATACTATGGAATTAGCTCGTAAGACTACAATCCTTATGAATTTGGTAAAATTATTCCTATGAAATTAATGATGCATATAGGAAAAAAAATTAAGGATTCAATTCCTATAATAACCCTATGAAAATCCAATACACCGAATGAGCCCCTAGTTGGTTTAGGCTGTGTTCTTCCCCCACCTTTCCAACTCATCTCTCTCGTTTTTCACGCTTCCGAAACTACTAAACGGTGCGTATTTTGCAAAAAAAAAAAACTCTATAGGAAAATTGATTTGAAAAGACATATTAATCCAATTTTTAAGTTTATTTTAGCTGATACTTAATACTCATGCACTCATCGTCGCTCCGTGTTGCATGTTGGGAGTGAGGGTTTGGTCCGAACTTAGCCTTAGGGCCCCTTCGAATCGGAGGAATGATAAAACAAAGGAATACGAAAACACAAGATTCTAGCAGGAATAAAATTGTAAAATAGAGGATTGCAAAACACATGAATGACCGGTTGATTGGACCACAGGAAAAATATAGGAATCAGATAAGAGAGATAGACTCTTAAGGAAATTTTCCAAGAGGTTAGACCTCTTGCTAACTTTCCTTCAAAATGTATATAGAATTACCCATTCTATAGGAATTTTAAAGGATTAGATATGATTCAATCTTTTGGTTCAAAGTTCTTCCTAGGATTTTTTTTCATAGCATTAAAATTCTTCAAAATTTCTATATTTTTTCTATAAATAAAAGGGACCCTCAGTGTTATAGTGTGTAGTAGTTTAATGCCTATCTTCACCTTACAAATTTTTAATGTTTGTATACATTTAGCGTGATCGGTGAAAATCCTGCGGGCGCCACCCGCCGCCGTGTAGAGCCGCTGGAACCGCCGCCGTGTAGTGCTGCTGGTGCTGGAACCATGTCTGCACGTGGGCGCGACACACGTCTCAAGGCTGTGTCTGTACGTCTCAAGGCTGTGTCTGTACGTCTCACTGCCTCGTGGGCCCCCACGTAAGTAAGCCGGTCGGAAATCGAGGACCAGAGGCGACGACGCTCATCCATCCTCCGCGCCACGGCCTCGAACCAAAAAAGAATCTAGAATCTTCTTCCCTTCCTCCCTCCCCAAAAGAGAAAACAAAACAAGAAAAAAAAGAAAAAGAATCTTCCCCTGCCGACAGTGGGCCCCACCCCCCACGGGGTGGCGGGGCCGCAGAATCCGGCAAAGCGGCGGCGACGGCGAGGGGATCGGGCGCGGACGCGGAGAGGAGAGAGACAGCGATGGCCGCCGCCCGTGGTTGCCTCGCCTCTCGAGCCTACATAAGGGGGCGCGCGGCGCATCTCCGGGCTTCGGCGCGTCGGATTGGGAGGTCGGGATTGGGAGGAGGATGGGGAGGCGGGGGCGGGTGGTGCTGCGGCGGATCGAGGACCGGGTGCGGCGCGGGATCTGCTTCCGGAAGAGGCTCGCCGGGCTGGAGAAGAAGGTGGAGGAGCTCGCCGTGCTCTGCGACGCCCACGTCGGCTTCGTCGTCCTCTCCTGCTCCGGCGACGACGCCAACCCCCACCACTTCGCCGCGCCCGCCACGTACGCTCCATTCCTCTCTCTCCCTCTCCCCCTTCTCCCTCCGAATCTGCTCGGTTGACGGAGTGTAGTGGCTATCTTTGGCTCAATTTTGATGGAGTGTGTTCAAATGGTTGGTAGCTCAGCTCGATTTTGACTATTCCAAGGGCTTGCCTCCGCAGTGTTATTTTTTTAAAAAAAATTAAATCATGTTCATCTCATTTTTCTCCATTTTTTTTTAATTTTCACACGACATTAGAAGAGCGATCCGGCCGGCCAGCAAAATGTTTCCTTGCGTATGTGCGCTTGCAGTGAGTGATCCTTGCTATTATTCTTCTTCTGCTCTTCTTCTGGAGTAGTCGCTTTGTGTCTTTTGTGTAGTGAGCTAGTTAATGTTCTAGTGTTAATTGTCTTCTGCTTTCAGACATCTAGAGCTTCTGTTCCATTGAGAACTTGCTGAAATTAATGCTTCTTTTCAGATAAACATAGAATCCCCGATATAAGTTAGAAGAAACAGGTGCTTGTTTGTTGTTGTTGTTATGGTTTATCGATAGAACCCAAAATCCAAGCAGCTCATTCACCCGTTGAACTTATCAGGCGATTCAGACCTCAACTTCGTTGGATATCTTTATGTGTTTTTAGTTTTGCATGTATTTCATTAACACCTGCGGATGCTAAACGGGATTAAAGCCATGGGGAAAAAAATAGTTGAAAGAACTTTCAGAAAAGAGTTTGTTTTGAGATGTTTGTCGATCGAGCGAGCCACCATTTGTTTCAGTTTAGAATGTAAACCCACATGCAATAGTCAATATTTGTGATACATACTAATAACAGTGTGTTAGTACGCATATGCATATGGGCAATTGAATTGGGGGTCTAGTGTTTATAGGAGTAGTACTATTGAGGCCAGGGATACCCATTGAGGCAAGGTGACGTATCTATGATTTGATGTGCATTTTTTGGATGATTTGTAGTTTTGGAGTTAATTTTTATATTTAGTTTGCTCTGCCATATGAGATGTAATTGTTCAGCTTATAGAAATTTGCCCAAGATCAAAACCAGAAACTATCTTTTGGATTGATCAGTCTATTGATGTAGTCAAGTTGTAATTAAGTTGTCTTCTTCACCTAGAAATAATGACTAGCAAACCATTTAGGCAAAGTAGCAGTTGACTGGTTTATATAAATGCCTTCGATTGCTTCTCTAAGCGGTTGGGAGTGAACTACATGTAGTAGATCATTTAGACGCCCTGCAAAATAATTAAAGTAACCATATTGTGATACCATAAATCGTTTCCAATATAAAACGTAATAAAAAAAAGCGCTGGTGTTATAGGGACTATGAGACATGTATCTATAAGTTTGAGAAATTTTCATGTATACTAAGTTTCATGTCCTCCATCCAAAAGTCTAAAACATATTTTATTTTTAGTTTTTTCCAAATAAGATGGACATATTTGTAGTCTCTATGCATCTAAGACTTAAATGGAGTTATCTTTTCGTTTTACGGTGCTAAATTAAATTGTTGACCAGAAACCGAGCAGTCATCTTAATACTCATTAGTTGCATGCATTTGATGTTTGTTAATATGGGATGAGTTAATTTTTCCTTAGTTTTGGTGACAAAACAAATATACCTTAGACTTTTGAATGGAGGGAGTATTAAATAATACTATAAAATGTGTATCTCCTACAAGTACCACATGGGACCTTGTAATTCTTCACTTTTGTCTCTCACCTAACGGATATCACACAAAGTAAGAAGTGCCCCTATTGTCGAAATCCCTTTTCACCTAACAAACGCCACACATAGATCCAAGTGCCCCTACCCCGAAGTCACCATTCATGGTGCTCATTGAGGTACCGGTGTAGGGTCAAGATTGCCAACAAGACAAGAGAAAGAGGGTAGGGTGGGTGGTGGAGTTGAATAGGTGGTCTTGAAAACTCATTTGGCCAAAATAATTTCTTATAGGAATTAAAAGCATATTTTTTTAAAAAAGGGATCCAATGCCTAGGCTTTGTCTAGGGCACCAACAACATAAATCTAAGTCAATTTTGTAGACATTTTGTAGACAATTCAATTATAGGAATGTAAATTGCACAAATTAGTGTTCAAAATAATGAGCGCAAGAGAGACATCCAATGTATTTATGTTTGGAAATATTGATTTCCGACTTGTGGAGGTAAGCTTTCCGCAATTCTTCTACCAAAACACTGGATCTCAACACGAGAGATGAGCTTGGTCTAGAACTGGCACTAAAATTGAGCTTGTTGGGCCTCGACAACTAGAAATAGATCATCCCTACATTTTGGGCTGGTGAGATAAAAAACCTTCATAATCAGCGGTTCCGTGTTCTCCACAATAGGTGTGAGAGAAGCAATAGGTGGATAATTTTTGCCTAAATTTATTTTGATTTATCAAATGAGGTGTAATAGTTTCCACAACTACATTTGCACAAAGGCTTAAAATATACTTCCTCCGTCCCAAAATAAGTGTAGCCATGAGTTTTCGCGCCCAACTTTGATCGTCCGTCTTATTTGAATTTTTTTTATAATTAGCATTTTTGTTGTTATAAGATGATAAAACATGAATAATACTTTACTCGTGACTTATGTTTTTAATATTTTTCAAAAAAATTTCAAATAAGACGAATGGTCAAAGTTAGGCATGGAAAACTATGGTTGCACTTATTTTGGGACAGAGGGAGTAGAATAAATGGTACCTCCACATGTTTTCACTTTACACATGGATTAACTAATAATTTGACTTTACACGAGGATTGAAATGATAAGTTGCATCACTACCATAAGCACTTCAGATGTGGACCTTGTATGATCCTGACAAGCTTGAACCATTTTTATGATTGATTGAATGGAGTTTGATGTCTTTGACATTTTTTTTCTTGTCTATACTAGAGAAATTCCCTTAAGTTTTGAAGTTTTAGGATTGATGTTTGTGACAACATTTTTCTACACATTTTATGGGTACAATGCTTAGTATATTATAATGCTATCATAAAAAACACCTACTTTGTAAAGACACATTAACGAGACTATATGAAATATTGTAAACAAATATGCTATGTCCTAGACGCTTCATTTCATTGTCATTAACTAAATGTGGCACGCAATCATGCATATGGCTTTGCATATTCGTGGCCATAGATCTTATTTTGGCCAACACTAAAATATTGTTTCAACTTTAACCATGAAGGTGTATAAAATATTCTTAATATCCCCCCCTTTCACTAAAATATTCATAGTGTGTCAAGGTGATAGCGATACTAGATGTGAGCTATGGTTGAACCAAGAGCATTTCTTTTATGTGAATGTGCTTTAATAGTGTAATCACTATTACATGGACCTACCAAAGTAATCTAAATTGTAATTGTCAGTTCATAGAACTCTTCCTAATTATTAGCTTTGCAGAAGCATCTCTTCACTTTGATTGTTTTCATGAAGTTAGGCGTTGGTCCCATCATACTAACCTAGACATTAGCATGGTGATTGAAGGGTCCTTACTCCTACAATTCTATGTCTACTTTTGCACCATTAGTTCACATGCATTGGGAGGATGAAGGGGGCAGGGGGTTAACAAAAATCGTGATGTTCTCCAACTAGTTGACATGATACAAGCAAGGGTCTTCCTCCCAAATTACGAAGGAGTTGCCTCCTTCTCTACTGTGGCATAACCCCTTGATAACTAAGCAAGAATTTTCAAGATATTCTATGTTCATCAATATGACCATAACATGGCATCAATCAAGATTAAAGTAGAAGCAAAATTAAGCCTCAATATCTTCCCTACCTTCAATTCTGGAAATTGTTTTACATGTATTTTTGTTTCTTATTTTCTGCCCTTTGTTGATATTTGGTATATCGTAAAGTTATCTTTTGCATTTTGGGGATATTTGTTAGCTTAATTTTGATTATGTATTTTTTTTACAATGCACTTATGTAGTTCTTGTAAAGTGGATTTTGATGAATCATCTCCACCCTAGGTCCCCTTCTCTTGTACTCCCTTCACTAGCGAGCACTCTAGTCTCGGCTGCCACTCCATTGCTTCGGTCACCCCCTACTGTCGTTGATTCTCCTCATCCTCCATCTACACTATATGTCGTATTACGACTTCAGTTGCCCTCTAGGATGGAGTTCATGCAGTGGTTCTTCCGAAGGACTCAACCATCAAGGGTAGATTGTGGAAATCATTGATCCCAAACGAGGATTTAGTCACTTCATATACGGTTGGTATGCTATTAACCTGGAACAACAAAGATGAGGTTGTCTACTTTGCGGATGGAGGTCTACAATCCTAGTTGCATGTCTTGTTGACATAGGTTAACAAATCCAAACATCATAGTCACTATAACCTATGCTTCTTTGGTTATTTTCTATGACTAACATCATGCGAAGGCCTTCTCTATTGACTCTTTTAGATGTTGCCACTGGTAGCTCAGTTGATTGCTAGTATCGTGAGGAAGTCTTCGCCACGGAGGTGGAGGCATCAGAGGTTCGCAAATTGAGAAATGTAGGTGCCCTAGCATAACCTTTGGTCACCCACCTCTTGCATCATAGCCTAATTACCAAGGACCTCGACTGTCTCTACTTTAGTTGCTTCTCTGTCAATCATATCCATGTAGTTTGTTGTCGACTATCGTGATGCTTTGGATGTGGAGAGTCCGACCACACATTGAAAGATTGCTCACATTTCTGCCTCTACTACTCAACATCCTATGGGTCATTTTGCACAACCTTTGCATTGTCTGGAGCTTCTACATCTTCGTCAAGGGGTTTTTTATTAGCTAGTGTGCAATAGAGACCACCGGGGCCTAAGAGAATTTGCTTGCCTTCATGGCATAATTTCAGAAGGCCATTGTGGCACCCTATCTATGTGGTTGTTGAGTCACGTACTCAGTACACATTGAACGCCAATAAGGGAATGCCTAAATCTCCATCTGTCACTGCCTTCGATAGCCTTCTCCTCCCCTCCCTCCCTAGCACTAGTGGAGGGCAATGGGGCACCATG